AAAACGAGGATATTCACTCCACTTCGCTCGAAGACCCCCGCGCTTCAGCGGCGTGGTCCCCACCTTAGTGCAAAGCAAGGACGCTCACGTCCAGCGCTCAGAGGTGATGAATCTGCTGGCAAAAGGAGCTGTAGAAAAGGTTCCTCCAACCCAGAGCGAGTCAGGCTTCTACAGCCGTTACTTCCTCGTCCCCAAAAAAGATGGTGGCCTCCGGACCATCCTCGATCTCAGACACCTGAATCACGCCCTCATGAAAAGGTCGTTCAGGATGACTACACTGAAACAGATCCTTGCGCAAATTCGCTCAGGAGACTGGTTCTTTTCTCTGGACCTGAAGGATGCATACTTTCACATCCAGATAGTCCCCCGTCACAGGCGATTCTTGAGATTCGCGTTCGAGTGAGTGGCTTATCAATACATGGTCCTTCCCTTCAGGCTGTCCCTGGCCCCCCACACTTTTACGAAGTGCATGGCCGTGGCTCTCTCCCCTCTGAGACAGATGGGAATCCGCATTCTCAACTATCTCGACGACTGGCTCGTTCTGGCCCAGTCGGAGGCAGAGCTAATATCACACAGGACCCTCTTCCTCAGCCATCTGGAGTGCCTGGGACTCAGGGTCAATATTGCCAAGAGCCCGTTGTCCCCCAGCCAGTGAATATCATTCCTGGGAACAATTTTCGACTCAGCCCAAATGAGAGCTGTAGTCACGCCGGAACGGTCTCTGGCCATACGGAGGCTGGCGACCTCCTTTGAGATTGGTACCACTCGCCCTCTCAAAACGTTTCAGAGGATGCTGGGCCTCATGGCAACGGCATCGCCAGCACTACAGTTGGGTCTGCTTCGTATGCGCCCCCTTCAGCGCTGACTGAAACCACGGGTTCCATCCAATGCTAGCAGTATGTCGAGCCTGTCAGTTCTTCCTGCCAGTCCTAAAAGGGCACCACGTGCTAATCCTATCGGACAACATGCCTGTAGTGTCCTACATAAATCGCCAGGGGGGCCTCACCTCGAAGCGTCTCTTCATTCTGGTAGAGTGCCTCCTGGAATGGGCTCAACTCAACCTGCGCTCGCTGAGAGCAGCGCATATACCGGGCAAATTGAACCAAGGAGCGGGCAT